ATAAATTTGAAGTCGATAATGATTTATTGACTAAGTGAGTGCATTTTACTTGCATATTTCATGCCCACAGAGATACGCTTTTTTGTACAGATAAAGTTGAGGGATTTGTACTTCTTCATTCTCATATATTTCCTTTGAAATGTTTGTCCATGTGCGCAAAGCAGAATAGTATATTTGATCACACTAGGTAGCTCACTTGCATTAGGAACAAATATTTATTTACCTAGTTATCTGTATATAAACAACTACGAAGAGCAATATTCAAACATTTTCGTCCAGTCAGTATAAATCATTTGACTTCTTTACACCAGATTCTAGATACTAGGTAGAGGTTATACAACATGCTTTATATGTCAGTCTGTTTCTATGACTTTAAGATGGTATTAAGGTATTTGTTGAGGCCACTAGTAATGAGCAGGAGAGTGGTTTTGAGTAGTCGACTTTTAGCTTATTAATCATAAATGCTTGAGAACACCTTTCCCATCGGAGTCGGACAAACTAAGTTGTAAAATGACAGCGTTAGAGGAAAGATGAGTTTCAAATGATGGACTTGATTTAAAAATTCAAATAAGGGAACGAAGTAGCATGAGTAGTGAACTTGGTCTGGAATGGCTTCAAATACTCTACTAGTTACTGAAGAAAACACCTAAAACGGGTCACTCATTTAACGCCTATGCTGCATTCAAGTAAAAATATTAAAAAATGTCGTGAACTTTTACGTCATTTAGTAAGAGCAGCTATTCGTCTTTCCAACCTCAATTCGTTTGTTTTTCTTTAAGTCTATTACTCCTTATGAGGCTTAAGCGGACGACCAGCGATCTTAGAGCGTCTCCTTTCCAGGTGTTCTCAAATTATATTTATTCTTTTTATACCTACCTTAGATTCCCGGAGCTACATGTCTGGCCCTTCCTCATTTACCGGTAAAATTTGAAGCTACAGATTGTCTTGTGATATGTTTACTGATTCCCATAAAGTTTTCTGTCTACCTCTGGTGTCTTTTTCTAATTTCTCAACAGCTAGATGGTTGTTCTTTTCTGCTAGAGTTGGTTATTGATAACGGTCTCTGGCTAATTAGTATGTGGTATCTCGTGTAAACATCTTTTTACATATTCATGCACTACTTCGCAATGGTTGCTGTAGCTCTCCAATTTTCGTATCCGTACTTTAGAATCTGTTGAGCGTATTTGAAGCATGATATCATACTAAAAAATAAATTGAATATGATCAGTTTATGTAAATACTCGATAATATTCGATGACAGCAAATACGTCCAAATCAGCACTCAAAAGTTACGAGAAATGGAATGGACTACTGAATATTAATAAACAGTATTTAATAACTTACAGAAAGGAGTGGATTAAATAAATATGAATAAAGAGAATGTAAACGAACTTAACTGTTGAAAATTCGCAATTCGGTTTCGGTTAACGATTATTTTGAGTTTCAAATATTCATCACTTGTAGGAATGTTTTCCTTGTTTTGACATCTACATCCTATCCTTCTTAATTATCAATAATCCTTCCCAGGTATTCAGTATCTATTCGTCATCTCAACATCAGTTTGCTTGTACGAAAAGAACTTGCGGTTCACCCGGTATTTTCATGGTGATTTGCTCACTGATACAATTTCCTTATTTCTTTCTTTTATAAAAAATATTTATAAACATATTTATCTAATCACGATACAGTTTTCATTGTTCATATTTCCATCCTTACTTGATGGTTATTGGAACGAAATGTCATTTTGACATTAGTCAGTAGACTCCTTATCAGTTTACTAATCCAAATGTTTCTGTCTTTTCACAGCATTTTCAACTACTATTATAATTATTAGCATCACAGTCACCATGAACACCATCGCTGCACCATTATTTTCTGGTATTTAGTATCAGTTTTATTATCCCGTTTACAGTTTTCATAACAAGCTCAAAATATTCTTTATCCACAATAACATCGTTGTCTCAGTTAATTCATTAATCTATAAATCGTACTTGCATGAATATGAAAAGTATTATTAACCAGTCTTCACAAGTGAATTAAATGACTTTGTACACGTTATACACGGAACCTCATTTGAAAATATCTTATTTATTCATATATAAGAATCTATGCGTGTGTGCAAGATTTAGGGCACACGAAATAGAGTGAATTTACCTTGTCTCAGAATGTTTATTGTCCCTGCTTTCAAAAACCTAGGTTTGGTTGAAGGCTTTCATCGTAGGCTATATAACTGACGACCAACATTTGGAATTCATTTAAACACAATCGCCACCGGTTGCTGAGACCAAATGAAACTAATAGTCCTATAGGACCAAACGTTTATTGATAGCTGTCACTAACAAAACCACTTGGATAGAATAAAAGTCATTTTCAGAAATATTTTCAACGCTACAACCTCATAGACAGTTATTAATATATCCCGGCTCTGTGAAATCATAGGATCTATGTTGTCAAAGCCTAGTGACTTAATAAATACTACTTTACACTGTTGTTCTAAAACATTAAATCACTTCATAAGATGGTCAGTCAACTCTGGAAACGTCAAATACTACAGAGTATTTATCACTATTTACTGAGATGAAACAAACACTCAGACAGACTACAACAATGTATTAGCTAATAACCAGCATAAAATAACTGTTAACAAATATTGTAGAAGGTCAAGTTATTAGACATTATCTTTAACAACTCTAATGTTACAAAGTCTGGATAATAACTGGGAGTAATTAAAACATACTGTTAGTTTGTGTTGTACCCCGAATGACTTTTAATCCAACAACAACCAATCAATGAAATTTTGATATACCCGAACAATGACTGGTAGTGTCAGTACGTCAACTCTCCTGGCATTAGACATTTAATCAGATCCTAACACCTACAGTGATCAGTGTTGGGAATTTAGTTGTATTGATCAATGCACTAACTGGTTCAGCTTCATGACACAGTATCCAACGAATTCTCTAGAGACTTCAAATGTGGTAGGAAGCTTCATTGAACTCTCCAACAACAGCAGTTCTTAGGTTAGGGACACACTATGACATGCAATTAAACATAGGCGATTCACGTTCAACTCAGTTCGTTAGCGATGTCTTTGTAGTTATACTTCTTCGGAATTAGTTAACAACCGTTTCAGATTGTCCACTTAGACTGTAACGTGAGTTCGGTACTCTAATTTAACCTTATTATTCGTCATTATGGGGATATTACTTCAAATGATTTTGAGAATAATGCTTCAATAGATTTTTCAGGAAAAAGATAGTTAGAGATCCCGCTTAAGTTATTAGTTTATCTTTGATGGAGGTAGTGGAGGTTTTCGTTTCGTAACCTTTTAATTTTTTTATGTATTTTAAAACACACTAATCGTTTAATAAAATGATATATTCTCGATGACGTGAACACTTATTCATAGAAAACTCATTATAATGTAATTTTTATACAATAAAACTCCTTTTGCGTGTTTCTGAACTTTATAGAATGATAAATGTCATTGTTTCTGTAGAATAAGAGTCTCATAAATGAAAAGATAAGAGAGTGTATGCAATGAGTTGGTTATTTTTCTACTGAATTACATTAATAACTACATTTTATTTGAATTTTACAGGTTTACCGATCATCTTTGATCTGAGATGTTTTAAAGCCTTTTTAACTTATTGAACATTTTCAATATCAGCACCTTCTCATCCTATTTTATTAGATACTTACGACGAAACTGAAATGTTTATAAATATTACTAGCAATTACTATTCAACAAACCACACAGTTATTAGATGGTATTTAAGCGTATTTTATGAAAGAAGCTATTTTGTTAACTATTTTATTTTACAAGCATAATTGTCCATTGGTACTAGATAATTACTCCACAAAATATATTCCATGATGAACTAGCTTCAACTGACTCATGATCTCAACTATTAAATTATTATAATATCCACAAACCCCCTTCTGATATTAATCAGTATATGTTCACTGGTGATTGGCTTCAAGAGGTATTTCCTAGAGTTCTAGTGAGAAGACGTGACCAGCGGAGTTCAACCGGATCTGATGTAAGATAGTAATTCACCTAACAACACTGGTGGACGTGTCGTTCAATTTCGTGGATGAGTTGAAATTAAACATTAACACCGTTGGATCCCGGCTCAGTGGTCTAGAGAAGACGTGTTCGCGTGCGAGACTGATAGGTCCTAGGTTCGATATCTCATGAGGTGGGATCGTGAATGTGCACTTTTGAGGAGTCCCACACTAAGACGAAACGACCATTCATTGCTTCCAGATTTTCCATGGTGGTCTAGCTTAAACTGGCTCATGATCTCAACTATTATTATATATATTCCATGATTTTGTTACTTTTTGAACCCATCTAATTTCAAATATCATAAATAAAATATAAATTCCATTAATACACCAATAACTAACAGTTGATATTGATTCTCTTTTTACTTCTTCATATCTATTAGAATTTTGTTCATTTAAGAATATCTCAATCAATTAAAACTACACTATAATAAAATATATTCAGTGTGAATGAATTTAGATTGTACTTAATAATGTTGAATTTCATACCATATTCATTTCGACAGCAACAACAACAACAATAATAATAATAAAAATCAATCTATTTACGATGGATATAAAATTTTAGAATCTAAAAGTAAAACGTTTTCTTTATTGTTAAGTCAACATTGAACTTTAGTAATTTGAGAATCTTATTTGTTTGTTTTTTCTTTCTTTCTTTGAATATATAATCTTTAATGTTGAAATGATGTTTATTCTCTTCATTCAATTCTAATATCAATATTTACATATCGTTTTGTGCATATTATACAATTGATCAATTATATTTTTTATCCTCAAATTTAAACCAAAAAGAAATAGGATCATTTATTACATATACGATTAGCAATAAGATGGAATATGTTTATTTTCTAAGATATAATTACATTGATTTATTTACTTAAGAAGACCCTCTTTAAATGTCAAATGGAAACAAACATATATACATATATATATATATTTGTTTCTGGAAGAATATTTTATTACTGAATTAGTATTACTTTGTATCATTTACAAATTTCAACAATGAAGTTCACACATCTTTTATTGATTTGTCTTATGTCATTTATGTTCTTTACATTTGTTCAATGTGACTGTAAGTAAATTATATTCATATTACTTATCTATAGTGATTATTTTAGTATCTTGGGTCTTTTTTTTTTAAGTTAAAACGACTTAATCATCTAAATTCATATTCATCACTTGTGTATTAATCTAAAGAAAAGAAAACATAATCATTTAACATTGAACAATGATTTCATTTTTACAAATCATATAATATGAATAAACAAAAGAATTCATTATAGTTTGATGATTATTTTATTTTATCGATTGGTTAAAATTAGACACTAACATCGTTGGATACCGGCTAAGTAGTCTAGAAGTTAAGCATTCACGTGCGTGATCGATAAGTTCTTAGGTGAACATTGCTAAGCAGTACCATACTAGAATAAAATGACCGTTTAAGGCTTTCAGGTTTTCAATGATGATCATCTAGCTTTATTCAACTCATGAAATCAACCATTTTTAATTTACAATTCTATGTGTTAGTTTAAAAGTTTCTGAATGAAATTCGTGTGGAAACATTTAATTGTGAATTAAATACATAATTTATAAGAGTATTATTAAATAATATTTCTAAGGTTAAAACTAATCTATCAAAAGTTTAGTACTTACATCTCATATGGATCATTCAATTATTGATCATAGACTATCTAAGGTCAGATATATCTAAAAAGGATCAGCTTAAAATGATCATCTTATCATGATCTTAACTTTCTTTTTTCACGTACATTTTCATCTTTAAATACCATGTAACCTTATTCTTCGTAAATAATTGAATTTAAAAAAAACCCAGAAAATATTCAATTCAAATTGATGTATTTCATTTCATTTCATTAAATTAAATATGATTCTTATTTGTAATGAATTACATTGACATAGTATGGAAAAACCATATTGTAATCTTGAATGAAAAAAAATTTGTTTCCTTCATAAACGTCAACTAATTAAGAATAATAAGATTTGTAGAATAAAATGAATTCATTACATTTCAAGACTTCTCATCAGTTACAAATAATAACACAATTTTGATATGAATTTAGATAATGCGATCAAGATTGATGTACATAATGAAACATGAAATCAGAACATCAGAAAAACTAAAAGTATCAGGTAGTAACTCACTGATGACAATGGTGGATGTGTCGCTCAATTTCGTGGATTAGTTGAAATTAGACATTAACACCGTTAGATGCCGGCTCAATGGTCTAGTTGGTTAAGCGCCTGGTGCGACACTGATAGGTCCTGGGTTCGAATCCCGCGAGGCGGGGTCGTGGGTGTGCACTGCTGAGGAGTCCCACAATGGGACGAAATGGCCGTTCAGTGCTTCCAGGTTTTCCGCAGTGGTCTAGCTTCAAATGACTCATCATCTTAACTACCGAAATGACTAAAAGTATGGTGAGATTTATGATCTTAGCTTCTTCTTTACATAACTCCATTTTCAAAATGATTAACTAACAAGGAATAAAGTCTATACAATTTTTCCAAAGGCCATAACCAATTAGCGTTTTCAATCTGACGTATGTACATAGAAAGAAAGAGTGACAAACCTCTCTTTATCATATGAAAATAATTACTGATCTAGTTTCACTGATTACATCATCTGTTGCTTTCAACTATCCATTGAATTTTATATCATTTTTGAAGGCTTGATTACATAATAATTGGTTTGTTTAAACAAAAAATGACGAAAGAAGCCCATTCATTTAATAAAAAGATAAAGACCTTTCAGTGAAGGAAATTTTCTTTTCGACAATATCATTTCTGAAGCTGTATCATCATTCTTCTCGGTAATTTTTTACATGTACTAGTCATTTGTAAAATTGAAGAATTTTACAAAATTATCAAAGATAGTCAAACTTATTCAAACGGAAGTCAGTCAAAATGAAATGATGTTGCATGATCTAAAACTAACTGATTAAATAAATACACAAAAATTCTATTTTACTAAAAACTATTTACTACATGTAAAAGAAAAACCTGGCTCACACATCCTTGTCGTGACTCCTGGGTAGTGAGACTCAATCCTATGAACTAACGCGAGTGGTAAACCGTGTGGTAAAGTTCGAGCTAATTACCCACTCGACCGATACCCATAAATAATTATAAATGCTACAAAGAAAAATAGCACAAAATAGCACACAACCAAAAACGATAAAACCTAACTCAAAAATTATCTGCAAAAACAGCTATTGAGCCCTGGTAGTTGTACCGTGCTTTAATGTAGCCACTTCTCTAGAAGGACCTACTAGGGACACATATAAATACGACTGTACAACTTCAGAAAATTTCCATTGCTAAAATGTCTTTATGATAATTATTGTTTATTCATTCCCTTTGATTCATAATTATCAGTATCAACATAGAAACAATTATCAATCTTAATCACTATAACAAATATCATAATTTTTCTCCTTTTCCCATTTTTATGACTATCTGTCTTGCTTTAAATATTAAATTCAATTTTATTAATTAAAAATAAATTAATCATACTACTATTTAAAACTTGAAGCTGTTTGTAGCTAAGGCTCATACTATTCACGTGTCATTTGAATAATGTTTGTAAATGTATTCTATTTTTTCTAATCATTCTGGTAATTCATTTACTTTATTAACTGATATTAACATCAATCTGTGAATTCTTCATACTAGATACAGGTATGGTATCGATTAAAGCAAATGTTTAAATATTAAATCTTCATAAATAACATGCTCTTTGTTGATATAATTCTTTTAAATCTCACATGTTATAAGACTGAAAATAAAATGAAACTTCAACTCTTCTTTCTTTTATTAAAATATAGCTGATGAAGATATGGAAGAACCACGTAAACAAGTTCATACTTCTTTACAGACAAATTATCTTCATTAGTAATATAACAACAGAAAATCATAATGAGCAAAGATGGATAGTGACTAGCAGTAGAATCTAGGAAGCGCATTTCGTTCTATTTGTCACTCATCAACTGGATGTACCTGAATCTCAGAGTTGATGTTCACTCTAAGACTTGAACACAGTATCGTTCGCATCAAATGCCATCTCATTCTCAAGTTTGGATAGCTACTTACTTGTATAAGGACTAAACGAATGTCCTGGATTCCACCACTAGCCATTAACTATCTTTGTTTATAATGTTTGTCAATTAAAGCAATATCAAGGCAATACGTATAGTATGTACATTTACCAATAAACGATTAATCAATTGCAATCCTAAACATCAAGTAAACAATACCAAGTGAAAATCATCATGTTTAGTAAATGAATTATTTCATCGGCTTGCCTTTTCCGTTTAAAGCAATAAATCTCATTTCATTAATAACAACTAGAAATAAAATCAACAATGTTGATAACTTACAATTTTCTTGTTGAATCAAAATAATAAAGCTTAGCTTATGGTAAATCTGTTTTCAAAAAGAAAATCCCATATAATTAAAATATTGCAAAATGTAATTTATATTAAATTCTAGGGGACGAAGAAGAGTAAGTAGTTAGTGTTCATATGATATACTTAATTCATTCAATTTCTATTGCTTACAATACACCATCTACATATCATTCTACATCCTGCATAGATACATGTTCTCATTCAACAATTCTAACATTTCATTCAACAAATCTTCTGTGTATCATTCTTTTCTTTTCATCAAAATTATCATCTTTGTTTCAATAAAGCATCATTAAATAACCTCTATGCATAAGATTTGCTCTTTACTCTTTCAAACTAATTGAAGTATAATTTAGTTGATTATCACTTACTAATTTAATTATTCCTGTTTGATTCATATCCATTGATCTGATCAATTTTTTTACTAGTATATGGGTTGTGGAGATTATCAAGTTTTTGATTGAGATCATGAACCGATTGATGTGAGACCATCTTTGAAAACCTGAAAGCACTAGACGTCCGTTTCGTCCTATTGTGGCGCTCCTCAGCAGTGCGCATCCACGATTCCGACCACGGGATTCAAATTTAATAATACTAATAATAATAACTAAATTCAAGTATTATCAGTTCAAATATCTATTTTGATATTATCGGCCATCTTAATAAAAATTCAGATATCTGAATTCAAATTGAAATGGATTGTTTTATCCCATTGTTAATAATTTCAACTGAAATTTGATCAATTTTCATTGATATTTGAGGATCGTTTGTGAATTATCTCGATATAGGCATTGTGATACAAATTGTTATAGAATAGATGGAATGTAACTAGCAGTCGAATTGAGGACACGCTTAAATGTTAATCTGGACTTAGTAGCTAAGTGGATAATGAGATGGCGTTTGAAGTAAACAGTGTTGGGTTTGAGTGTTGGGGTGAACATCAAGTATTAGATATGTGTGTCTTCACCTAATGAGTCCCAAATGAGACGAAACGCTCATCCTGGATTCTACAGCTATTCACATTCCATCGGTTTTATATCAAATATTTTGTCTAAAAGTTGAGAAACAAAAAGTCAAACAAAGACTGAACGAAAGAATTAAATAGTACTTGATGAAAATAATGAATTTAGATTTATTTGAAAGGAAAAAGTATTGGTTATAAAACTGTGTGGTAATTTAAAGAAGAAAATGCTTTTCGAATGTTCTATAGTCAATGGCTGGACACAGAATATGATGGACAAAATAAATATATTCGACTTATGTGTCACAGTAAAAACAACATCAACAAATACCTTATTTCATTTTGGTGAAGTTTTATTCTCTGAGCTGGATGGCTTGATCGTGAAGCTTCCATCGTTCTTCTGAAAGATATCATCAGCACAAACTTCAGGTTCCATGTTTTGTTTATCGGATATCCAACATATTAGTTTAAATATCCACTTTGTTTATTTGCTTCATAAAATCTATTCCTTCAGTTGCATAGTTTGAGTTTTAACCTGGTTACATCTGATCAGATATACAAAATAATATATAGAATAGGGAATTATTTATATAGCTTCAAATAAATTTTCGTTCCTTTTTTTAGGGAACCTAATGAAAAGTTAGTTACATGTCAAGATTAAATGACGCAAGGTTTCTTTTCTAAAAATTCCAACAGTATCTACTAATTGATGTTGATGAAATCAACATTTACTCAGTTAGTAATAATAGGCTTCTTTACAACTAACATGCTTATTTTATTATAGAGATAAAAATAAACTTTGAAAATAGAGATAAAAGTTTGTTTTAATAAAACAACAGAAGTTATACAAGTAAATCATTGAATGTCTGTTCAGTAGTCAAAATATTGAGCTGTCTATGAAACTTGAAAGTTATGGGTTCGATATTCGTTTAGTTGGTGAATGTACACTGCTGGGAAGCATCATATAAGTACAAAACAGTCATTTGGAGATCTATGGTTTTCAACAGTTGTCTAACTAAGTTTAATCCATGAAATAAAGTGAAAAGAAACATACATAAGAAGAACTATTAACACTGAAGACAGTTATCTCTAGTTATCTGTATTAGATTCTATTAAAATTCAATGACATTTTATGTATTCTCTAAAGTGTGCATCCCAACTTATTTTTAAAAAAACCCACTGCAATATAAAATTACGTAACTATCAAATAAACAGATTTCGTTTGTTAGTATAGCGACATATTTTAATATTTAGCGTGTAATATCTAAAATGTTGACAACCAGAGTGGTTTATCTGAATAATGATAAAGTTTCATCGATAATGTAATGTACCATGTTCTACAGCCCATGTTCTACGGTCTCATTTATTTGTAAGGAATTAAACCTCATTGATTGCTCTAGAGAACTAAAGAATGGAAGGTATAAAGTTCTTGAGTAGAAATACATATTTATATATGTTACTAGATTTGTATCCAGTATTTGGTACATGGTCATGTACAACCAAAACCTTTTTAAGACTGTAAGCTACAAATCGGGTTTCCGTATTTTCTTATACCTGCAATTCAAATTTATAAATTTAAGCTTCTTATTTTGGCATTCAAATGAAATAATGCTAATTGAAATAGTTTAATAAAGTGTTGAGTATAATTTTTCTGACATTGTCTACTTTGAATTCCATCAACAGTGAAGAAGGGTCTGTTCACAAATCATATTAATTTATTGTCATTTTTTAGTAGCGTAGATCATCAAATGATATTCAGCTCATTAAGAAGATTGTTTCAAATAATTTTAAGCTTAATATTTCATTTAATGAATGGCAATCTAACATCTATGTTATGCATCTGTGTTTTTGTTAACTTCATGATTTGGATTGACTAACACAATAGAAAGTAGTATTTACTTTATACACTAAAATAGTCCTAATCAAACATAAAAGATTTATAATTACTATTATTATAATAAAATAATGAATCACTTGAATTTGTTACTGTTTATGTTATAACTAAAGCTGTTTCGCAAACAACTGAATGAACACTTGTATATGATGATATGATACTAAAAAGGAAACGCAAAACGTAATTGTAACTAATCGTTTATTACATATAAAAAAGTCAACATAAATCACATTTCAGTACTATTTGATTAGAGGTGGTCGATAGAAATCTCTTCATATAGAATTATGGCTAGTTGCCCCTTATCAACGTGTATCAGTACTGTTAAAATAAATGTTCCTGTGTTTGAGTTTCCATTGGATCCTTTTATTTTTGTCGGAAAGATAATACTCAATTATTTACTACTAGATGGTCAGTTAGTCTAGGAGAAAGTTGCCAGCTAGAACTGTCACACGTGTTTTCACATACCTTATAGTAGTTATGAACAGACTGGAAGTTATACAGTGTGTTGAACAATTTTACCATTAGAGTGAATCAAATTATTGAAAGAATATTGGTATGAAACAATAATGTATTGTAACTGAAAAATTGTAAATCTTAACTTCATCAAAATTTTTTTATGTTTCTTAATCATTCAATCTCATTAGAACACCAAAACCTGTGTAAGCATATGTAAACAAAGTTTAGTTTTATATACCGTTTTCATAGTTATAATGATGAGAAAATTTAACAGATTTAGTCAGTTAGACATTTGTTATGGTTACATAAATATTACACACTAGCTTATTAAGCATATGGCCGCACATATACAGCCAATGTCAGAGAAGTCCTACTCACTGGGTTCTCGCAGCTGGGACGTTGTTTACGAAATTGAGAAGACGAAAAGCGAATGTCCGGCACTCTAACCAGGTCGGTTGGTGAATATTGAGGATCCACCTAGGGGAGTTGGAAAACCCTCATTCCAAACCAATGGTGTACATGGGTTCCAGAAATCTGAGGGAACAAATGGCGTATGAAGCTATTGTTCGTCACCGGCCATCATGGAACTGCATCTTCTGACGTTGCTCCACTCCTTTGTGAGTCAGACCTTTAGGTCGAAGGCTCGGGGTGTGGCACCATATGAAAACCACCTCTTTCGGCCTGAGCACTCAATCAGTATCATAGCCCACACAAAAATCAAGTGACTTATGTGCTACATATGTGTTTAGTGCCCCTCTATACCAATATTTATGTGTTCAAATAAATCGTAAATAAGCTATCCGCTGTAAATGAGGATATTGAATAAATCCTGAATGTGAAGCACAATTTCTAATATACATATTGAACTTCCAAGATTGCTAGTCGATTCTCACTGAAATAAATGAATTAGATTCTGTTGTAAATCAGTTAGGTTCTGTATTTTATTTCTTGTGTAGTAAACAATTATTTAGAAATTCTTAAGATTATTACTCAACCCTAAGACCAAATAACTAATCACCATGACATACAACGTTAATAAATTACCCTATTATTACAATGAATACATACACTCTAACATGTTTCTCGAATTGATTTGATTATAGTCCACATGGGAAACACCCGTAAGTTTAATATAATTCACTTAAATTAACTTAGAAATTTGTGTGAAAACATTTTTAAAAAGAAACATTAGATTCTGTAACAAGGAAATATGTACATATAAGTGACAACTATTCTAAGTATAAAGCATATAAATCCACTATGTTGAAACATCTCTTTGACATGAAGAATGTTTGAAAATTTTCATCACTGAGAATACATTTAATGATTGATAATTTGCCGATTATTTGGTGTTCATAACTAGATCTATAACTATAATACAACACTTAGTCAAGCATATGAGTCCTACATAGTGCAAAGATGTTTTGCCACCTTTCCTGTGTTCTGTCAATTGTTAACTTGTTGATATTCAAACTGAACTGATTAACTGGAAGAGAGATAGAAGAATAACTCTAACATCAGTCTACTAAATATTACTACGATATTCTGGATAGAATCAACATTTATGTTTTCTTGGCTTGAAATCTTTACTATACATAGCTTGCGGCGTCGAAATATATATATATATATATATATATATATATATATATATATATATATATATATATATATCGGCTTTTGTATAAGTGATTAGATCGAGAGACTATTGATTCTAATCTAGGCTCTATCTAGGATTTAAAAAGCGGAAAGTTACGGCTAAACTATCTTTGAGAAGCTTTAAGTGATATTACATATACAAAATAAATTTTCATGTGAGAATACCTTATAATATTAACCTTGTCGAAAGAAATTCTCTTCATCAATGACCTGTCACAAATCTAAAGTAACAGATCGAAAATAATCTCTTTAAATACTCATTTGTTGGTATCATACATTTCCACAATAATCAGATTTCAACAAGTTGGCTTTCAGTTGCTTCTTAACTGATCAATTCAATTAATTAATAATAGGATTGAATTTTATTAACCTTTAAATAAATGGGTCAAGAAAACTACTCTCAATTAATTTTACTACAAGAATATAATTCATTGATTTCAGAAGTAAATTGATGAGAATTAAAATTGTTAATGAATATGTAGTTATTTCTATGATCTGGATCATATTGTGTAGTTATTTAAAATAAAAAGATTCATGGTGAGGGAACTGGAGCTCCCTGACGGATTCGGTTTCGTGTCACAGGTAGCCAAGTAGCACGAAACCCAGGTCCAGGGTTTCCTGTCGACTACCTCCAACTACCATCTAATCTCAACATACAGTGCTCGCAGTGTTCAGTCACTTAGACTGGTGGCCACATTTCAACATGGTCGATAGCATTCGATCAGAACTAAATAAGGACTTGACACATATGACATTGATCACCACCCAGTGATCAATCAATTGTGATTAGAAACGAGACTCTCTATCCAGAAAGCATACTAAGATTCATGAAAACATTAATTTGTAGATGAATGTGAAGTTGAAATAGTGTAAAACTGAATATTCTAACTGAATCTAATATTATTCATTTAAACAGTGTTGAAGAAAATCGATAAAAGTTTGACAAACTTTACTGATTTATATTTTGTAATCAATGATAGTGGCTAGCAGTGGAATTCAGTTTCACGCGCGTTTCAACCTATTTGGGACCCGTCAGCTGGATGTACCTGCATCTGAGTTGATGTTCACTCTGGGACTCGAACTCAGAACCATTCGCTTCACACACCCTCGCGTTATCCACTCAGCTACTGATTCATGATAGCCACTTGCTTGTGCGATCAAGTGAATTTAAATTCACTTGGTATTGTTTGGCTTATATTATTAAAAATATTGAAAGATTATTGTTGAAATATAATAATCTTGAAACTTTGAAAATTTACAGAGTTTTAAGAAAAGTATTTTTGTAAGTTGATTTAGAGTTTAATATCTATCAAATAATCATTGAATGATGAGAAAGTAAATGAATATTGGGAACCATTTAAACAAAATATTATTTAAAAGAGCTAGACAAATAATGAAAAAATAATCATTATCAGAATGGAAGCATTGGATGGCCGTTTCGTTTTAGTATAGGACTTCTCAGCAATGCAAACCAGTATAACCATTTCTATTATTGGAACGTACTGACTAATTGCATCAAACAAATAATATAATCTTGATGTTATTAGAATGGGTTTTTGTGGAGAGTTTAAGAAATTTCACAAGTTGAAATCATGAGTCAGTTGAAGCTAGACCACCACTCCAGGGCTCGAGCCCCGCGTGGTGCGGGATCGTGGATGCGCACTGCTGAGGAGTCCCATACCAGGACGAAACGGCCATCCAGTGCTTCCAGGTTTTCAATGGTGGTCTAGCTTCAACTGACTCATGATTTCAACTTGATGTTATTATTTAACATAATGTTACTGGTTATGGCTAAACTGTTGTTTCACATTTCACTGATAATTTAAAATATTATGATAGAAACAGTATTAGATGTAGTATAATTTTGATTAAGAATATGGCTATATTATAAAATGAATGAATAATACTTATATAATCTAAATCTTCTTGTTGATTAAAGATTTAATAGATCATTGAAAAGTTTTGGCTTTGTTTGATGCTGTTGAGTTCTCAGAACTAGATGGTTTACTCACGGAGGACTCATCATCATTCTGGACAGCATGAGCGTTTGGTTCACGTAGAAATGAGTTTTTCATTTATTACAAGAGTTTCAAATCACTTTATTCTGATGAGTATCGTTGTAGCTTATGATATCCTGAACGGTCTTTGTGCTCAAAGTGATTATTTTGTTCTATTGGCGTTTTTGAACGAATTAAACTAAATCAGTTCTAAATAGATATGACTACTGACTTCCCGTTGATCTAAACGCTATGCTTCAAGAAATTCCTCGTGATTCGTAGAATTCCCATGGTCTAGAATTTCGACGTTCTCTCAGTTCAACTTATGTTCATAGTTGTCTGTATGCATTGATTTCAGTGGCAGCATATCATGTCGCTACACTGACAGTTTATATTCGTGTGTAAGCAGGTGGAGAGAGCATTCACACTGTCTAATATAGTGTTTAAAACAGTTTCATTCTCAAATGTCAGGTCTTAGATAAAACTGTTTAAATATGACAAAAGACAATTAAATATCCTGCGTGCTTGTATATCAATGGTCTATTTTCTCTATGTAGTCGTTCCACACTAACTTTCTATTCTCGACATTAAAGAATCTTTCCATCAACGTTGTTAAATTTCTTCAGAGTGTCATCAATGTAATATTTAGTTTCTGATAGGAATATACTAGTGAACGAAAACTACTGTTGGGCAAGTTGTTAACTTCGCAAAAGGTGTCGAAATTCTTAATTCTATTAATAAATCGAAATATACATTGAATAAGATAATGTGAAATTTGTTTTGTTCGGTCATATTTTTATTTTTAATTCTTATTTCTATACAATGAAATACATATCGTAGTGTAAAATTACAGTGAATGAACATACGTTAATTCAAATGGAAATCTCCTCTACCATATTTCTTTACCTTGGGATTAGAATTCCTAAAAGCCAACATATTGTAGTTAGAATTGAAGCATTAATGCATCAAATTCCTATCTCATGTCACTTTGTTAGAAGTGCACCATCATGGATGCAGTAAGTCTATTGTTCTGGATGAATAATTTTATATTTGAACATTCATTTCCTTTTAGTTGAGAGAAAATTAAATCTTCTCATTACTGAACATACCAGTATATTGTACCTCAAGATTGACATTCTTCATAAAACAGCAAAGTAATCAATTATCCCGCTCAATTCTACATTTCTTTTCTATCATCTCATCGTTGTGTTCAAGAGTGACAGCGATATATTTTCTAAGAATCAAACCATTTACGTGTATAGTGAAAGTTATGCAACAATATCCTAGTAAGAAGTTATAAAATAGGATTAAATTTAATCAATCTTGCTTGAAATGATTACAATGTATTCTTAAAACTGTATAAATGTTTAAAAACGAACAACACAGATTACTGAGCTCTTTTTTTCTAAAAGTCGAATACTTCATGAAGACAATATCTCAAAATGATCACAGAAAAATGTGCGCTTGAATAATAAACAAGTACTATATCACGGTGAAACTCTATTACAAGTTAATTATAACTTTACATAGTTTCAACCCTTATACACAAAATATTTATTTATTAGAAAGTGATATTGTGGTGTGAGCTACTTATATCTACATGGAGTAGGATATAACGAAAGTCAGGAATAGACTGTATTTCAGTAGAAGATCAAGAAAGAAAGAATAAGAACAGAAAGTGATTGGTATTAAAATGCACAAACAATCCAATCTGATATGATGGACTGATATTTGCAAAAGGAGCAGTCAAGTTTGAGACAACTGGTTGATTCATTTTTGCAAATTAACTATTTACGGTATGGTTGTCAGATTTAAGTAAGACGTTCCGTAATTTTGTGTTCACTACAATATAAAGTTAAAATACCAATGTAAATTTCTTAATCAATAATTACACCTTTATTCACTTATTTTTCAGTATACCATTTTCTATTGTTGGGTATGTCGAACTAAATATAATTTCATTATGACCGTTGTATATAAGCATATTCAACTAACGAAAACATTAATTAAGTCTCAGAAAATTTCAAATGAATAAAATGTCTCTATTTAATCATACCGTATCAGATCAGTAAAACGTAAATGACCCTTATATTTTTTTCTTCGAGAAATTAAATATTACCGACTTTTATCTATCATACCTGGGAAGTATCATCGATGAACAAGGAGGTTCAGATGCAGACGTAAAGGCAAGGATTGGCAAGGCAAGGGTCGCATTCCTACAATTGAAGAACATATGGAACTCAAAGCAACTTTCAACAAATATCAAAGTGAGAATCTTCAATACCAACGTCAAGGCAGTTCTACTGTATGGAACTGAAACTTGAAGAACTACAACAACAACCATCAAGAAGGTACAAGTATTCATAAATAGCTATCTACGCAAGATACTCAACATTCATTGGCCGGATACCATCAGCAACAGCCTTTTGTGGGAGAGAACAAACCAGCTTCCAGCTGAAGAGGAAATTAGAAAAAGACGATGGAAATGGATAGAACATACATTACGCAAGTCATCAAACTGCATCACGAGGCAAGCCCTAAGTTGGAATCCTGATGGGAAGCGGAAAAGTGGAAGGCCAAAGAACACATTACGTCGGGAAATAGAAGCAGATATGAAAAGGATGAATAGGAACTGGTAGGAGCTAGAAAGGATTGCCCAGGACAGGGTTGAATGGAGAATGCTGATGAGCGGCCTATGCTCCATCACGACGAGTAACAGGCGTACTGTACTGTACTGTTTATCTTACATATTTATTCGAAGAACTTGATAGGAGTATTTCAATGCAGTGCTCGAACAGTTGATAACTGATAAAAGAGATTTTTGTCAACAGATAGTTGAAATGACTGTGTTAAAAAGTTGATTGAGTTTTATCGCAATGTCTTTTGTTTATAACAAAATCAGCTTATTGGTAATTCATCGAACAATGAACTAGCTAGTGGTGTAGAGTTGACAAAGTATACTGGGATTCTAATGATTTGGAAATATTATTCATCTAATGATATAGAATTAATTTCTTTCATTATCTGTTACAATACTTGAAATAATCAAGAATTTTAAGTTTTTCCTTGAACAAGTGATTTCATTTTTCAATTTACACTAATTTTTAAGACTGATGTTCAATAGTTGCATAATAGATTGATTGATTTCAAAATATCCATGAAACAGGTCCAACTCATATTATCAGAAGTCAGGGGTTTTGTGGAGATTTTAGTAATTTCGTGAATTAGTTGGAGTTAGACATCCATTGGATACCGGCTTAGTGGTTTCGAGGTTAAGCGTTCTCACGAGGGACTGATAGGTCCGGGATTCGGATCCCGCGATTGGGATCGTGAATGAGCACTACTGAGAAGTTCCATACTAGGATGAAACGGCCGTCCAGTGCTTCCTGATTTTCTATGGTAGTCTAGCTTTAATGGAATCATGAATTCGATTAATCAAATTATTTTATGAAGTAGTGTGTAATGTACCTAAGGATTATCCAGGAGTTAACAAGGTAACCAGCCTTCAGTTAAATTATAATTATTCTTTTTCAGTGGAAGTAAACCAAACTACACCATGGCATATCTGAAACTATAGATTCAATAAACGCGTTACCCTCATTTGTCACTAAAATCAACTACCATATTTTAGTTTTATTCAGTATAACATTAGAATATATGATAATAGCATTTTAAGAGTGGATAAAATGCCATTTAATTTTTTAAAAATAAAACTTATTCTCTTATACCTCAAAAGTAAATATCCGACTCATACTTTCTTCTTTCAAAATAAAGAGCTGCATTAACATACATTGCGTAAGTTTAAAGTTTAAATGTTTACATTCATTTGTATTTTGTTCTTTTAATGATGGTTACTTATCATGAAGTCTTTACTGATGAAAAGACTATCGAAAGCAATAATAAGGGTATCAATTTCAATCATAAGTTTACTTTAAAATTGAGAATTATTTCTTAACTGACAAGAATAACAGTCGGAATAATCTGATATAGTTCTATCATTCAACTTAATTAGTAAGTGTTTCAGAGACATTTCTGGTTCACAAAGTGTTTACTGGAGTAATGAATGATTATCTAATATACGTTTTTACTAACTTCTAATGTTTGTGAGTTAAGGCAATATCGAGGCAATACGCACAGTATGCACATATGCCGATAACATACTGACCGATTGCAGTCCTAAACATCAATGAGAAGATTCAAGTAAACAATTTCAAGTGAAATTAAACTTCATCCCATTGCACAAGCAAATGTATATCAGGCTTCAGTAGCTAAGTGGATAATGCGATGGCGTTTGAAGAGAAAATTACTGAGTTTGAGTTTCACAGTTAACATCATTTCTGAAATGCAGGTGTATCCGGCTGACGAGTCCCAAATAGGATGAAACGCGCGTCAAACTGGATTCCACTGCTAGCTACCCTCCATCTTTGCTTATAATACCTTATATATAGTTTCAATATATTTTACTGACACATTAAACGGAATGATATTGACAACTATTAAAATTTCTATATTGAATGATTTTCTATGGTTAAAATCAAACAAGAAAATCACTGCCAACTAACTATTACTTTTTATTCAAAATATAATTCATTTGAATTAGTAATAAATTCCGATAAGCTTCTTCAGTTTCTTGATGTAGATAACATTTAACTTCTATCGTGTCAAAAAGTAACAGTATAATGACTTTTCTATCACTTAACATAATTTATGACAATCACTTATGAAACGGAACAAAATATGGAAGATATTTCATATTGGTCAAAATGGTTAGACAGATAATTCACAATAAATAATAATAGTGAGTTATATTTCTTGTAGAACTACTCTTATGAATTAAATTCATCAACGTCATATATAGTCTACATGACGTATTGTAATGGACTTGAACACGAGTGAGGGAAATCAAACATATTAGCACACAACATTGCAGTACATCTTTCTAAAATACATGAGTTGCAAAATATTAATCAATTATCTCATACTTGACTGTTTCTATTAGAAATATCAGTCAATCGTTTGAGACATCATTGTTCCTGCATTTTTATACCAATTAATTTCCGTTCTTGTTCTTTCTTTCTCTCTCGATCTTCTACTGAAATACAATTTTATTCCTAACTATCATTATATCCTACTCTGTGTAGACATAAGTAGCTCACACCACTGTATTACTCTACAATGTTAGTTTCCATGGTTCTATAAGATTTTAAATAATCTATCTATATTTCATTGAACAAATCATGAAATTGCACTAATACTGAATCCCCTCTTTTTTTCTTTAAAAAACTTATTTTCTAGCTACCATTTCTATGGTTAAAATATGAAGAAAGATTGATTTGTTCAAAAGAGAAACTTCAATATCGATTCATTAACTGTATTCAAATTAAATGACATAAATTACGAATATAATTTTTGTAGTAACAAAAGTTTCATAGAGAAAAATTTGCGATGATAGTCCTTCTTTCTTTTTTATTTCTTGTTTTTCTTTTATTGTTTATCACTTTTTATTTCAAATTTATGTATGAAACCTGAAATTATTTCTTAGAAACTGGCTTCATTACCAAGTAATCACAATAATAGCGAAAGTGTATTGAACCGAACACGGATGGGGACAATCGAAGTGTATTAAACACAAAATTACAAAGTTATTCCTTAAAATAGAAAATCAATACAGCAAATCATTAATTTGCAAAATATCAGTCCATCATATCAAACCGGACTGTTCCTGTTGTAATCAGCAATCCATTGTCTCAAATTTCATTGTTCATGAGTTTTCTTATAAATTGCATTGTGTTCACGCTCTGCGTTTCTTGATCTTCCCACATCTTCTGCTGCCAGACATTACGTTCTTTAACTCGCTTCAAGTACTACTTACAACAATATAAGTAGAACACACCACAATAGTTATAATAAAACTTGAAAGGAATAAGACTTAACTAGTTAACTAATAATGACATTAAAGTTTCATTATACAGACCATAGTCAATGTTACTTATTACTAAATGTAATAACATAATGTCCAACTTCACTGCATTACTTATTACTATATAACTAGAAATGAGTTCAATTGACTAGTCATTTTTATCTATTTCATAGTTTCATCAAACTATTCTTATCATGATATGTAGTCATTTAATGATTATGGTATAAAACAGAAGAGTGATAACATTGATCTATGAATTCGACTATTAAATGAGTACAATTTCTACAACCACCCACCACCATCGTTATTTTATAGTCTCAAATAAATTGAGCATCGAGTAGGAAACTAATCATAAATATATTTAATAATTGAATTCATGAATCATTGGAATCATTGGACGGCCGTTTCATCCTAGTAAGTGACTGCTCAGCAGTCCGCACCAACTATTCCGACACACACGAGTTTCGAACGAACACTTAACTTCTAAACCACTGAGCTGGTATCCAATGATGCTAATGTCTAACATCAGCCAGTCTCACGAGGTAGGATCATACTAGGATTACACGGCCGTCCATGGTGGTCTAGCTCAAATTGAATCATGAGTTCAATCATTAAATTACTACAATCTCCAAAAACCTCTTTCTGGTCATAAATATATTATGTGAACTTAGGTAATTTTAGTTCGTTTACTCATCTACTCTGAAGAAGTAGCTTATATTAAGTCGTGAAACATCAGAAATACACCTTTCCTATTCATTGGAATATAACAAAAATATATTTTATTATAAACACAGAACTATTTAGCGTTTACTATTTTTACAATTAGATCAGTTGAAGCTAATGGTGTTAGGCATTATAAAATATTGTTAATGAATCTAATACCACCGAATACAATGACTAGCTTGCAAAAGTTTTAAAATTATCGGTTGAAATTTCGATATTCATTGAGGCACAAAACAAAGAGTAATACAACAGTTCATATGCATAATATTTGGCAAATCTTACTTGACTTCATGACATGTAAATAGTGTTATTATGATCAATGAAGTGATAAAATGAAAGTCAGTAGTGTGTTCTCATAGTTTTAACCATAATTAACAGCGTACCACATCGATTCTCACGTCGATTTGTTCTGACTTTGATGGAACTTTCTAACCTAACAGCACATGACTGACTGTTAATATGGATCCAATCGATTAGTGCTGCCGCAGCTATAGCGCTTAGTGCGATACCAACGTCCTATTCGAGTATATTTCTTTCACGGGTTCATTTGCATTGTTCCATCTTTTGTATTTGTTAGTAGAAGATCCAAACTAGTGAAATCATAATTTCATCTCAAGTTCGGGTTAGTTTATCCCTCAACATTATCATATGCATCTGCATGGAACCGACAACAATTTTACGTTCTCCTTAAGTGAAAGCTACAATATTGATCTGAAGTGATTGACACAAAGCCATCTACTAACTCAATCATGAAAATAATCACAAATAATGGTAATGGTTTTACGAATTCAATTTAATCTATTCTCGATAGATGAAATGTGTTGAAGAGGAGAGCTTTCCAACACTTGACGATCGATTTCCAAATCTACTTAAACCAACTATCAAAGTGATGAAATTTTAAGCAAATCTCTAAGCGTAGAAGTTATGGGTCGTGTTCATCAAAATTCAACTATGAAGATCAACATCTGGATATATTAAATCATGATACCAATTAGCATAATATTGACTATATTCTCCTTGTCAATTATTAACTATTAACAATGCTAGATGTTACATTTTAAAGACAGTGTCACTTGTCATATACACTCAATGCATTCTATATATTTGGAATAAACATGACCTAGATAATTTACCAATAATCTACATCTTGTATATGTAAATGTTAGTTAGTATCCGCAATTTCTTTCTTAACTGAAACAGATGATGTCCGATTTTCCATCTATGTAAATAACTCGGTCATTCACTCATAGAGCTCCTTTGTCCTATCCCATGTTGTGTAATCTTTATCATTGTGTTCGTTGACTCCTTAGTTGGCGCTTATGTTCTCATGTTTACACACACGAAACAATGTTTGAGGAGGATCTGTTTCAAATCGATATTGTTCTCTACTATAACTTATAAACTTAATAATAGAGTTTATCATAATATACAGATGTTTACAACGATGATGCTGATGTGAATACGTTTGGATAATTAGAACGGAATAGAAAATTACTACAGACTAACTATATATATTTAGTACAAATTGGATTATTTAGATACAAAATCACAAATGGACGTTCTACTTGTCTGGATAGCGTGTTTGATAATTAAGAGGTCATTCGAGAGGAGGCACGGAAACAACCAAATTGGTGTTCTGATAGGAACATGATCACAAGAGTCATTAATCATAACATCCTCTACGATGGTGATGATTATCATGATGATGATGATGACAACAGTCACGGTGATGTCCGTGATGATGATGGTGCTGATGATGACAGTCATGATGATAGTCATCATGATGATGGTGATGACGACAGTCATCGTGATGTCTGTGATGATGACGATGATGGTGGTGGTGATGATGATGACGACGGTGATGATGGTGATGTCCGTGATGACGACGGTGATGATGGTGATGTCTGTGATGACGACGATGATGATGGCAATGTCCATGATGACGACGGTGATGATGATGATGTCTGTGATGACGACGGTGATGATGGCGACGATGTCCATGATGATGGTGTCTACGGCATCCATAGTGGCTGTGATGGTGGCGGTAATGGCCATGAAGCAATTGTGATTGTGTGGCATTTTCACCGCCAACTTCCTTTAATATACTTACATCAGTGTGGTTACTTTCACTCGTGCTATCTGTCGGATCAACTTCTTCACTTCCGTATCCACTGTCAGAATCCTTTGTCACATTGTCATGTTGCAGTGGCTCAGTAACAGTGACGGTCGGTCCTATAACAAAACAAGACTTCGTGTTATGGAATTATTGATGAATGAAATATGCGGGAGCATAAACCAACAAAACTGACTGTATGCAGATGTTGATCTGTTTTGTTTTTTTGGTGGAACGATATAACGCTGCACTGTTAACTCGTCAGGTGATCATCTGTAAGCACAAACACACAATTCAAGAAAATGTTCGGAACACGTGTCACTCAGAACTGTCTGTCAACTGCACAGAACACTATCTCTGTGACGTCGCTTTATTGAACAATTATACACAGATGACTGTGACGAGACACTCACCATTACATTGCCTCACATAACGTGCATAACAAACAGTGATCCTTGATGAATTGAAGCGTAATAAACGATATATTGAAATTGAGCAACTTTTCGGTCGACACTCATCCTCAGATATCTCAACAACACACTCACTTACCTTCACTTGCTGGAGAGACTGATAAGGCTTCGACCAGTCGGTGTTCGAAGACGAACACACTCAGTAGTAGTATGACGATGAGTTTCATTGCAATTCTGGAAGAGAGAGAGAAATGTTGACCTGTGAGTAGTCAGTATATCTATTCTGATGAGTTCATGTGTATTAGTCAGCGTGAATGTAGTAGAGTAGTAATAGCATCATGTAAGTTACAGATGTTTCACCAACTTACTCTCCTCACTCTGACTGTTTATCTTCCACTACTCGACAATGTTAGTGGGAGTCGCCAATCGAAGTGTGATTTAACTGCACGTGTATTTATATGACAATGTGGCCGATGGAAAATAGGTTTAGAAAGTCACGTAATAAATCACTCAAATCAATCATGATAATCACTTGTGTCCTAATGACCGATGAATGTTCATACACCCATTCTGGTCACATATGTTTTCTTTCGCTCGTGTGTGAACGTTTCGCTCCCATTGTACTTTGTGGATTATCTAAGATTCTTGAGCATGTGACTCACGATTCCAACTGCTCTTTCAGTTTGCGAATATATTGATCACTTTTTCACGTTTCGCCAAATTTAAGAGGAACAACACAATCATGCACTACACCGAGTTATCGATATAGAGATGTTTGCAATTCCTACTGGTCCAGATTTCTAGGAACGTGACAAAACACCCTTGACATTCTCCATACAAAGTTTCAAACCAGTTCAGATTCAATCCTCTAACCAGCCTCAATTGTGTTTCGCTATCGAATAGGACGGTTTTTTGATCTCTGGGTTCGTCGAAGCATTAGATGCTAACTGACCATGTTGCAATTGACGAACGTGTTTGCCAACCTTGGTTAGGTTGTTTGGTTACGCTTTCATACGTATCAGTGTCCACACGCCCACACACACACATTTGAATTGATAAATGCAGTGGGATGTCACGTTAATGTTTCAATGATGTCTAAGAGTATGCAGAATAATAAGCTTTGTCTCCTCGATCGCAATCATAACTTACTGTTCTCAATTACACTCAGAGTGATCAACAACAAAATAATTCACAGTCTATCTAACTAAACATCCAATTAAATAATCACGCATTCAACAATTCTTCATTTATACCAATAAACGATTAATCAATTGCAATCCTAAACATCAAGTAAACAATACGAAGTGAAAATCATCATGTTTAGTAAATGAATTATTTCATCGGCTTGCCTTTTCCGTTTAAAGCAATAAATCTCATTTCATTAATAACAACTAGAAATAAAATGAAGAATGTTGATAACTTACAATTTTCTAGTTGAATCAAAATAATAAAGCTTAGCTTATAGTAAGTCTGTTTTCAAAAAGAAAATTCCATATAATTAAAATATTGAAAAATGTAATTTATATTATATTCTAGTGGACGAAGAAGAGTAAGTAGTCAATGTTCATATGATATACTTATTCAATTCAATTCTCATTGCCTACAAAACTGTACATATATATATCATT